TTCTAGTTGCTGTATGTGGGATGCGGCCTCAGCATGGCCAGAGAAGTGGTGCATTGGTGCGCACCCAGGATCCGAACCCGGGCCGCCAGTAGCAGAGCGCACGCACTTGACCACTAAGCCACAGGGCCGGCCCCCACCTTCTTCATTCATTGTGTGACTTCCACCCCATGCGAGGGTGACCAGATACACCAAACAAAATTACAGGACGCCCAGTTAGACCTGAATTTCAGATAAACAACAAACACTTGAATGTTATATATTTAACAGTAAATTTACAATTTTAACCATTTTTAAAGAAGAATGTGTCAGCTATTTTTATTTGATGATTTTTGTCATTATTTTTTTATTGTGGTAAAATATCCATAACATAAAATTTTACCATCTTAACCATTTTCAAGTGCACAGCTCAGTGGCATTATGCGCATTCACACTGTTGTGCAACCATCCCCACCATCCGTCTCCAGAACTTTCTCATCTTCCAAAACTGAAACTCTGTCCCCATGAAACACTGACTCCCCATCCCCTCCCCCGGCCCTTGGCCCCACCATCTACTTTCTGTCTCTGCGGATGTGACTCCTCTAGGGGCCTCCTGTGAGTGGGTCACACAGTGTCTGTCCTTCTGTGTCTGGCTCATGTCACTGAGCATCATGTCCTCAAGGTCCATCCACGTTGCAGGATGTGTAACAAATAATTTTTTAGTATAGGTACGTCACAAATATTGCACAGGACAAATAGTGCATGGAATATACTTACACTAAAAAAAGTTTGTTGTATATCTGCAATTCAGATTAAACTGGGCATCCTAAATTTTATCTGCCAATTCCTTTTTTTTTTTTTTTTTTTGCTGAGGAAGACTGGCCCTGGGCTAACATCCGTGCCCATCTTCCTCCACCTTATATGGGACGCCGCCGCAGCATGGCTTGCCAAGCAGTGCGTTGGTGCATGCACCGGATCAAAGCGGCGAACCCCAGGCCACCACAGTGGAGCGCGAGCACTTAACTGCTTGCGCCACCAGGCTGGCCCTATACAACTATCCTACTTATAGCCCTTTCCCCCATAGCAGCCTAAGGTAGCTTTTTTAAAAACAACTTTATTGCTATATAATTTACATATCCTAAAATTCACCTGTTTTAAGTGCGCAATTCAATGAATTTTGTCGTATATTTACAGAGTTGTACGACCATCGCCACAATCTAAATTTAGAACATTTCCAACACCCTAAAAATAAACCTCATGCTCCTTTGCAGTCACTCTGGATCCCCACCCCCAGCTCAAGGCAAATACTGATCTACTATCTGTCTCGAAAGATTTGCCTTTTTTGGACGTTCCATGAAATGTCATATGATGTTGGAATCATAGACTGTGTGACCTTTTGTCTGGCTTTTTTCACTGAGTATAATGTTTCTGAGGTTAACCCCTGTTGTAGTATGTATCAGTGCTTCGTTTCTTTTTACTGCTGAATAGTGTTCATGGTTGGGATATACCACATTTGGGTTAGCCATGTACCTGTTGATGGACATTTGGGTTATTTCCACTTTTTGGCCGTTATGAATAATGCTGCTATGACTATTAGTGTACAAGTTCCGGTGTGGACGTTTGATTGCATTTCTCTTGGGTAGATACCTATGGACGGAATTGCTGCGTCATATGATAAGTCTATGCTCAACCTCTTTTTGAGATATATTTCACATGCATAAGGATGTTTCTTCAGACTAAAGTATTATCTTTGTACTCTGTGATGAAATCTCTCAAAGAAGTTTTCTCGAGAAATTAAAATGAAACACGAGCGTCTCATTAATGTTCACAAGGCACTATGATAGATCCTCAATGGACCCCTTCATCCTTCCCTCCCTCCCGCCACTCACTCAGTCATCCCAAGCTCTGACGTTTGCTTTTGCTGTTCCCTTCAGCCCCAAACGCCCTCCCAGAGCCCATCTCTCTGTATCAGCCAATTTCTATTCATCTTGCAAGTCTCTGGTTAAACCACCTCCTCCAGAAAGTCCTCCTGGCCTTCGTGGAAACACGAAGTTTCCCCGATTACTCAGCTTTTTCGTAAGCACTCCGGCTCATTTACTCTGAGTTCCCACCACGGGTCCTAATTACAAAGAAATCAACACTTCTTTACCCTGCTAGACATTGAGATCTTCAAAAGCGGGGTAACAGCATCTAGTGCTCCCAGTATTTCCTATTGCCAGGCACAGTTTCCAGCGTTTCAGGGGTGGTGAAGTCATTGAATCCCCGTGCCCCTATAAGATCCGTACCATCTTGAGGTCCATTTTCCAGGTGGGGAGACCGAGGACAGAGAGATTAAGTAATTTGGCCACACAGTGCTCAATAGATTTTTCTTGAATGAATTAATATGTATATTGGGTATTTTGTGGCTCTGGCACATGATGCTCAAAACAATTTCCCTGAGTGAAGAAATAAGTGTTCCGTGCTTTTCCTGGCTGTTTACCCTATGACCCCTCTTGGCCCGCCCCTTTCCCTAAGCCCCGCCCCTCGGGCCGGCAATGGCTCATCCTATTTTGAGTTGAACCTCTCCTCTTAACGATAGCCAATGGCGGACAGCGGCTTAAGCCCCTCCTCCTGTGGTAGCCAATGCCCGCTCCCTATCTTGAGGCGCTTCTCTCGTGGTATCCAATGGCCTGCAGCTCTATATAAGACCCTCCTCCGGGGAGCGGGAGGCTATCAATAACCGCCCCTTACATTGATTGGGTCTTCTTTCCTGTGGTATCCAATGGCCGGCCTCCTACTTAAAGCCCCTCCTCCTGTGGCGCTCCATGGCCCGCCCCCTACCTAAGCCCCGCCCCCAAGGAGCTTGGCTACCCGCTTCTTCACTCCCAGAGCGAAGTTCCCTCCTCCCACCTTTCCCTTTCACCTCCCATAACCTCCGCCCCCTCCCATTAGGCCTCTGGGTCACGCCCCTTGGCTGTATCCGTTATCCAATCCCGTTAACTTGCTCTGCTCCAACCCCTCTTCTCATTCGTCCCCGCTCTCCTCTATCCCCGCACGTGGCCCTGAGCGACGGCGCCGCTCGCCCGTGACGGCTGGAGGGCGGGACTTCCGGCGGCGACCAGCCCAATAAGCTCCGACCCGCTACCCAGGCCGCCGCCCCCGCCCCCTCGGCGTCCCGCTCCCGCCCCCGGCTTCGCCTCCCGCTGCCGCCGCCGCTGCCGCCGCCGCCGCTTCCCGCGGCCTGGGTCTCCCGCCGCCAGCATGCCGCACGCCTTCAAACCCGGGGACTTGGTGTTCGCCAAGATGAAGGGCTATCCGCACTGGCCGGCCCGGGTGAGGCTGCGCGGGAGATGGGCCCGGCGGTGGGGGGGGTGGGGCAGTGCGGGCCTCGGGCCTGAGGGGCCCGCGCTCCGGGGGTCGGGGGGGGACCTGGGCCTGAGGGCCCCGCCCTCCGGGGGTCTTGGGGACCCGGGCCTGCGGCCTCCGCGCTCCGGGGGCCTGGGGGGGACCCGGGCCTGCGGGGTCCGCCCTCCGGGGGTCTTGGGTACCCGGGCCTGCGGGGCCCGCGCTCCGGGGTTCTGGGGGGGGGCCCGGGCCTGGGAGACCCATATGCCTGGAGGTCTGAGGGTCCCCGCCCAGGGGTACCCACGCGGGGTTCTGAGAGTCGAGGGATGGAGTTGGAGGGACCTGGGGCCTGAGGGAGCAGGGTTCAAGTTTGAGGGAGATCGAAGGGTGTGAGGGGAGCTGAGAAACGAGATTTGAGGAGCCGGGTCAAATGGATGGGAAGGGGGTGCCCCAGACTGAAGGAGTTTATTGGGGGGCCACAAGAAGCCAAGTTCCGAGAGGCGGGGGGTGGGGGCGTGGGGGGGGGGGGGGGGCTTGGGCCATGTGTGTGTGGGGGGCTAGGAATGAGGGCTGCAGTAAGGGGGAAGGGTTGAGGGTCAAGGCTGAGGGGGGCCAGGGCTGGAAATGGGGCTGGGGTCTCTGCTCACAAGGTCACTGGAGCTGAGCGGACGGGATCTGAACGTGCAGGGCATCAGGGACTAAGACTTGTTTGGGGGACTCTGGGGACTGGTGCCCCGTGAAGACCCCCCCCCAGATGCTGGTGGAGGAGGCTGATTGGAACACGGGGTGGGGGGGTTGGGGTGGAGTGGTCCTCTGTGATGCTTGAATCAGAGATGGGCCCCACAGCATAGAGGCTCAAGCCCCAGAGAGAGAGTATCTCAGGGGTGGGGGTGGGGTAAGGGGAGCTGGGGTTCCCCTTTGGAGGAGCTGGGATCCAGAGGACCCAGCTGGTCCTGGGGTCCAGGTCTGAAGGGCAGGGCGTCCCAGGTCTGCAGAGAGTGTGGTTCCAGGCACTGTCTAGGGCAGCCCAGTGTGGAAGAGGGACCTGAGGGTTTTTGTCACCCCAGGTCTTAGGGCTAAAGTCACCCCAGGGCTGGGGTTGGTGGAATATGCATGGTAGGACTGAAGGAATTTAGGGGGGTGGGGGTAGGGGTGGGAGGCCCAGGCAGCAGCAGGGGGCAGTGGAAAGATGAGACCGAAGGTTGGGCTGCTATAGAAGGAGTGAGGGAGTTGCCTGGGCGCTCCTGTGAGGTGGATGGACAGTTCACCTCGCTCCCTGCCTGTCGGACCCTCCCTCTCTCTGTCTCTGGGTGGAAGTGAGCAGAAGGGCATCACAGAGCTGTGGGTTTGGTGCGGAGAGGCTGCCACCAGATGCCAGGAGGGGGCTCGGGGACCACCCACTGGGCAGCCCTGAGAGCTCGACGTCTGGGATCTCAGGCTCGGAGGCGGGTCCTGGGTGGCGCCAGAGCAGAAGCCGCGCCTGGAAGGCTTGCGGGGCTGGTCCACAGAGTGATGGAGTTCGAGAATGCTTCTGGCGGGAGTGCGATGCTGGGGGTGGATGCCTGAGGTTCCCAGCCCAGGGCCAAGGACTCTGAAAATTAGCCCAGAGGAGAACTGAGGAAGGAAGCTGGGCGAGGGCGGCAAGGGGGATCCCAGCAGCCCCCCAGGCGTCGAAGAGGGTGGCAAGGCATTAATGGGGACCAGAAAACCCACTCTAACCTGATTTGTTCGTGCTTATTTTCTGGGGGGAGACGAGAGCGATGAAACTTTCTGGGCACTTCCCTTCTTCCCAGAGTACCAGCTTCTCCCTCTCCTGCGCCCCCCTCCAGCCAGCTCTGAGCCCGGAACATTTCCAGGCACCTGATTGGAAGTGGAGGGGCTGCTAGCCTCCTGTGGGGAGGTGACTGACAGCTGCTGGAGCCCATGGGCCTGTAGGGAGAGGGTGGGACTTCCTGGATGCTCGGGGCCTGTCTCCTGCAGCCCACCCCCCACCCTCTGCATCCTTGGAGCTGCCAGCTGTAGCCTCTGGGAGACCGACCACTGATTACCTCTTTGCGGGAGGGGGTCCGCGGGAGGGTCCTGGGAGTTCCTAGAAGCTAAGCTTGCCCCACCCCCTGGCTGCTCAGAGGACCGTATTTGGCTTTGCTTAGGTGAGGCACCTCCTTTGGGGGCAGAGACAGCAGCCTGGGGGGAGGGGACAGGTGTGCATGGGGGCGGGGTGCACAGAAGAATGCAGATGCCCAACTGGGAAGTGACGTGTCTTCCTAGGTTGAAGGCTCCCCTTCTCCCGGCATGCTTCCCCCCAAGTAACTTGGCTGACTCCTGGGTCAGTGGGTGAAGCTGCCCCCGCTCACCCTCTGACCCGCCCCTCACTGCAGATCGATGACATCGCCGACGGTGCTGTGAAGCCGCCCCCCAACAAGTACCCCATCTTCTTCTTTGGTACACACGAAACGTAAGTGTCCCCAGCGGGGGCGCGGTTTTCCCACCTGGTGCCTCCCGGGCTGGCCCAGCTCACCTGGGACCGGCCCTGTGGTTCCTTTCTCCAGAGCCTTCCTGGGACCTAAGGACTTGTTTCCCTACGACAAATGTAAAGACAAGTACGGGAAGCCCAACAAGAGGAAAGGCTTCAATGAGGGACTGTGGGAGATCCAGAACAATCCCCACGCAAGCTACAGCGCCCCTCTGGTGAGTACCTGCAGGAGGAGAATGGCTGGTGCTGTGTCTGCAGAGCCTACGTAAGGGCTGGCACATGGCACATTGAGCCCCAGAGGTGGCCTTTAGCTTGTCTCTGGGACAGGGCTGCCCCCCCCCCCCCGCATGCTGACATGGGGGCTGCGTCATTCTCTGTGGGGGGCTGTCCTGGGCACTGTGTGGTGTCAAGCAGCATCCCTGGCCCCCACCCACTCGATGCCAGGAATACCTCCAGTGTGACAACCAAACGTGTCCCCACATATCACCCTGGGTGGGGTGGAGGGGTGCAGGATCACCCCCGGTGAGACCCACCGCTCTAGGATTAGCTGAAATTTATAACAGTGTGGTTATAGCTCTTACAAAACCTTTCGTTTTTTTACAGAAAAAAAAATTTTTCTTTCGTTAACACCCTCTGCCTTCCCCCAGATTTTAGACTCGAAAAAAAGCCGGAGTTAGTAGACGTGAGAGTTCTTGCTTAGGTGGGGAAAAAATGCAGGGGTCACAGAGATGACACCGTGGTGGCGAATCAGTGTCTGGAAATCTTCGGGGAGAGGAAGGAATTTAGAAAAGTGAAAGTTAAATTCATGAAGAGCTGTGGAAGGCGGCTGAAGGATGGCAGAGGGGTGCCTCAGTCTGGGTGTTTTGGGGTGAGCCGGGTTGGCGTTCTCCAGTCTGCTTTTAACCTCCGCTTTGGGGGTTTCTGTGGGATGCGGAGTTGCCTGGCCTGAGGGCGGGTGGGGTGGGCTCGAGGTCAGCTGGGAGGCCAAGTGAACTGACTGGGGGGCAGAGCTCGGCAGCTAGGGAAAGAAAAGACCCCCGCAGGCCTGTGGGCAAGGAAGCAGGAGTCAGAGAGGGTCTGGTCTGTGTGAGCAAAGGACTGAGCAGTTCTGTGGTGCCTGGTCCTGCTTGAGAACTCGGGGTCTCCAGATGGTCCGGGTGTGCCTCTGCTGTGGCTCAGTCCACCCCTCGACCCGGCAAACACCCCTGGGCGGCTGCCTGCCACGGGCCACGTGCTGTACTAGGGACCAGGAATCCGAAATGACTCAGACATAGTTCTTCCGTCCCGGGAGCTCGCGGTCCAGAGTGTGGGGTTCACTCAACAGATGTCCCTCGAGTGCCGGGTTTGACAGCCCCTGCTGAAGGGGCCGGGCCCACGTTTAGTGCACGGCGGTGGTGGATTAGCTCCCGTGATGCTATGGAAGACAGAGGTTCCCCTGGTTTGATACCCGCCGTCTCTCCACGGGCTGGCCTGTCCCCAACTTGGGTCCTCAGATCTGAAGGTCTCTAAGGTCCCTGAGTTTCATGAGATCCTTTTCTGGCCCCAGCTGAGGTTCTGTTTGGTTACGTCCTAAGCGTGTTACCTCCCGGTGAATCATGGCGCTGTTTAATATTTATCGCACATCTCCAGCCTGCTAAGTACTGCATAGACACCTGCCCTCGAGGAATTGAAACTCAGAGATGGTGCAACCTTGACATTAAACCAGCCCCAGACAGCCCCCCAGGTTGAGAAGGAGCTGTCAGTGTTAGGGCTTCTTGCTGCTGTTCCGTTCTCTAACCCGTCTGCACCTCCAAATGGCGAGTCGGTTTAAAATGCGGATCCCTGGGCCCCACCCCTAGAGTGGAGGTTTCCTAGTTGAGGGCTGAGGCCTGGGAACCTTGAGGTATGTGTTCCCACACGTTGTCCTAGATGCTTCTGAGGGAGCCCGTCCACAGGCAGGCACCGCCTTAGGGGTACCTGAGTCTCTCTTGATCCTTCAAGTTTGCTGTTTATTTTTACCTTTCGAGTGGGAATAGAGTCATGGTCCAAACTTGAAAAGGTGTAAAAGCGCGCACAGTGGCAAGTCGGTCCTGCTTCCCACTTGCTCTGTTTCGATTTCCTCTCAAGACAGCCACCACTACCATTTCCTTACATGTCCTCCCAGAATTCCTTATTCCTATGAAACCTTGTACAGTACAGCTTTGTTTTTTAAAGCAGGTGAGTCTCTTCTTTGCTTTATTCCTCCGACAATACATCTTGACGGTTGGTCCATGTCAGCACGCCGAGAACAGCCTCATTCTTTGTGACAGGCTTAACTAAGCGGGTGTTGCTGCCATGCGTGTACGGCCAGGCCTCTTCCCGCACCCCCTTGCCATCCTGGGAGGTGGGAAACGGTTCTCGGTGTGGTTCTGGCTGCACACACTGCCTGAGAGGGGCCTGGGCCGGTGGTGTCTTTCCATTTTACAGATGAGCAGATGAGGCCCAGCGAGTTTGCTCGATTGCCCAGAGGGCCCCAGCTGGAACCTGAGCCCTCTTAGACCTAGACCAGGGTGTTTCAACATTCGGGGCTGGATCCTTCTCTGTGGGCGGCCGTCCTGTGGGGTGTTAAGCACCATCCTTGGTCCCCACCCCACCGTGCCAGGAGCATTGCCCCCATCTTGATAGCCAGAATGTCTCTAGACGTTGCCAAATGCCCGCTGAGGGACAAGTCACCTGTGGTTGAGAACCTTAGACCTGGAAGGACCCACCTAATGTCCTCATGACCTGAGAGAGGAGAGGGACCCGTGCAAGGTCCTCACGCTGGTTAGAGCTGAGCCGGGACTGAACCCCAGGCCCCCCGTCTCCCAGGACAAGATTCTTTTCTTTTCTTTTTAATTGGTTTTTTATTGATGTTATAATAGTTTATAACATTGTGAGATTTTAGTCTTACGTTATTGTTTGTCAGTCACCATATAAATGCCTCCCTTCACTCCTGTGCCCACCCCCCACCCCCAACCCCCCAGCCCCTGGTAACCACCAAGCAGTTCTCTCTGTCTGTGTGTTAGCTTATCTTCCACGTTTGAGTGAAATCATGCGGTGTTAGTCTTTCTCTGTCTGGCTTATTTCGCTTAACATAATACCCTCCAGGTGCATCCATGTTGTTGCTAGTGGGACGATTTTGTCTTTTTTTATGGCTGAGTAGTATTCCACTGTATACATATATACACCACATCTTCATTATCCAGTCGTCAGTCGAGGGACACTTGGGTTGCTTCCACGTCTTGGCTATAGTGAATAATGCTGCAGTGAACATAGGAGTGCATAAGCCTCTTTGGATTGTTGATTTCGGGTTCGTTGGATAGATTCCCAGTAGTGGGATAGCTGGATCATAGGGCATCTCTATTTTTAGTTTTTTGAGGAATCTCCATACTGTTTTCCATAGAGGCTGCACCAGTTTGCATTCCCACCAGCTGTGGATTAGGGTTCCCGTTTCTCCACATCCTCTCCAGCATTTGTTGTTTTTTATCTTGGTGATTAAAGCCATTCTGACAGGTGTAAGGTGATATTTTAGTGTAGTTTTGATTTGCATTTCCCTGTTGATTAGTGATGTTGAACATCTTTTCATGTGCCTGTTGAAGGCCGAGGTTCTTCTCCTTCTGGCTGGTGCCAGCAGGGGAGGGGGTCTGGGGGAGGGGGAGCCTGGGGAGAAACTTCTGCACGGTGGGTCTGGGCATAAGAGCCCTGCTGTGTGGACGCATAGCCCTGGGTTCAAGTCCTGGCTCTACCACCTGATCACCTTCTACCTCGAGAATTGACGTCACCTCTCTGAGCCTCGGTTTCCTCATCTGAAACAGGACGGTGGCAGTCCCAGCCCCTCACAGGGGTCTTGGGAGAATCCGGAAGCAGATGGGCATCCGGCATCTAGCACAGTGGCATGCAGTCAGTGCTCGGTAGGAGATGAGGGGGCGGTTGGGAATGAGGGGCCAGGCCGGGTTTGCCCTTCCCTTCCCACCTCAGTCACCCTCCTGATCCGCTCCCACAGCGAGAGAAATGAGCACACATCTCGCTCACTCAGCCAGGGTCTCGGGACGGTTGGAGGGTGCCAGCTCTCGGCCTTTATTTCCCACCTCCTCTCCGCGCCCCAGCATTCCCGTCCCCCAGCCTTCGCCATGTGCATCGGATTTCCCAAGACCTTTGCTGGCAGGCAGATCCCTGGGCCGACCCCAGGAGATGCAGAGTTCCCGCTTTATCCACAGGCAGAGTGTAGGGCAAGTCACTGACCTGCCCCAAGACTCAGTTTCCCCAGTTGTGGAACATTCCCATTCATCCTGGGTGCCTGACCGGGCTGTCGAGGCCCAGATCGGACACAGCTGGTCAGGAGCTTGGCAGGAGCAGGGCGGGGTTTTAATAAGCAGTAGCTGTGTCCAGTGGCCCAGGCTCGGAGCGCAAGGCCGACCTGGCTTGCATCCTGCTCTGTCACTTAGTCCTCTGTGGTCTTGAGCTGTCACGCCTTTTTTCTTATCTGCAGTGTGGGGACGACAGCTCCCACCCATCGCAGAGAGAGACGATAAGCTCGGTGTCTGGTGGTTCGCGCTTAACCTGCGCCAGCTCTTACTGCCGCGGTGTTGACCCTTTCCTCCTGCAGGGGATCCTCCCACCAGCCATCCAGTCGCTCATCCTCCGAGCTGCTGTTTCTCCCTGTGAAACACAGGGCGGGGAGGGGGTGACATCTCCCTTCTCGCCTCACCAGAGACCCTCCAAAGAGAAACAGCGCCCTGCAGGGGAGGTGGCTAGAACCCACAGAGACAGCCTGATTATTCTCCGCCAGCTGAGGTTCAGGGCTCGACCTCCCTAGTCTTGTACTTTTTAATCTTGTCACACGTTATACAGACAGGGCCCTGTCGCCGGGCCCAGAGGCCCCGCGTCGCAGTGACTCAAGGGAGATGAAGGTGATCGGTGCTGAGCGGGAGGTCCTGTCAACACCTCCTCACTCTTCTCGCCTGTGAAATAGGGCTTGTTCGAGAAGGCTGGGGTGGGCTCCACCCTCTCGGTGGGGGAAGCACAGAGTGGGCATGGAGTGAGGGGGTCTCCCGTCCGCCCCTCCGCCCAGCTCCCCGCTCCTGCATCGCTGGCCCGGCCCGGCTCTGGCACCCGCATTCTCCTCCCTCGCTTCCAGTCTCTTCTGCACCTTTCCACCTTGATGTGCTGCCGGGACCGCGCCTCAGCCTCCGTGCAGCCCCTCACGGCCCCTCTTCCTCCTCTGGTCACCCAGCTGCACCAACTTCTGCCTCTGGTTGCTTTTCTTTCCCGGTCTCACTGTGTGCATCCCATCGGGGTGCCCAGGAGACTCCTCTCGTGGACTTGCGTATCCTTTGGGTCCTCCTCGCTTTTTTTTTTGGCTGGGGGGCATGTCCCGCTCCAATCCATTGACCCCGACTATAATTGCACCAAGAGAATGTGGCTTTTTTTTTTGGTAGTGTTCCTTTTTTTAAAAGAATTGGGGTACAATTCACATAACGTAAAATTAACCATTTTAAAGCATACACTACAGTGGCTTTTAGTACATTCACAATATTGTGCGACCATCACCACTCTAATTCCAGAACATTCCATCACCCCCCAGAGAAACCCCGTCCCCGTTAGCAGTCACTCTCCACCCTCCTCCCCCAGCCCCTGACAACCACGAATCCACTTTCTGTCTCTGTGGATGTGCCTGTTCTGGACACTTCACATCGGTGGAGTTACACTCCATGTGGCGTCTTGTGTCTGGCATCTCTCACTGAGCGTGTTTTCGAGGTTCATCCACGGTGTAGCGTGTGTCAGGGCTTCACTGCTTTTCATGGCCGAATAGTATTCCATTCTAGAGCTAACCCACATTTTGTTCATCCATCAGTAGATGGATATTTGTGTTGTCTCCAGAGAATGTGGCTTTTAAAAATCTCAACCTTTGTTTTTTTTTTTTAAGTCAGTTATTTAGAGAAAAATTCTGTGAAATAACGTGGTCAGGTTTATACCTGGACTCAGCTGGGCCAGGTACCTCGGGAGCTGTAGTGGCAACCCCCCTAGTGCTGGCTTATAACTGTGTGTTTGCTTGTCTGTCTCCCCATTAGACTGTGAGCCCGCTGAGGGCAGGAACCCTCTCTTGCTCGTCTCTAGTCCCCAGCACGGGGCCGAGCACATAGTAGGTATCCCGTGATGTTCATTGGATGAGTGAGTCATGGCTGAATATGAGTGGGGCACATCCATTTTCCTCCCACAAACACACCACATCCAGAACAAATTCACAAAGGGACCCAGAAAGCCTTGTGGTCTGACTGTCATCGTGCCGTCTGCCTGATCCCCCAGATCCTCAATAACTCCTGCGAGCCTGCATACAGGGACCTTCACTCGTGCCCTTCCTGCTTTCTGGAATGCATCTAGCCCCTCCCCCTTTGCGTGCTTGGCACGACTCCTCAGCTGAGATGTCACGCCCTCCCAGCGTTCCCCCGCTGACCACCCACTGCAAAGTACTCCCACACTTTGCACCCACATGCCAGTGTTTTCCTTTCTGCCATCACCACGCTGTGACACTGATCTGTGTGAATGACTGTGGTCGGTCTCTCCCACCGGACTGGGAGCTCTGCAGGGCCAGGGACTGCGCTGCCTTCACATCTGTGCTCACCGCCTGCCTAGCTCAGCGCCTGGCAGCCAGCAGCTGCTCAGAGACGGCGCCCACGTGTGTCAGCGAGCCAGCACACGGCTAGCACGGAGGAAGCCCCGTAGAAGTGTGGGCTACTCTTGTGGCCGTTCCGCTGGAGGAGGCATTTTGGGTGAAACAAACAGCAGTGCCGGGACACTCAAGCCCCGAGCGCCTGTCCTGTGGCAGCTGCCTCCTCAGAATAACGAGAAGAACAGTTTTAAAAAGTAAACGCTGATGGACCTCTTGCCGTAGTCTGCGCCCTGTCCTGAGTTTGTCACGATCCGCTTCTGTCTGATCTTCGCCTTGGCCCTACGAAGCCAAAATGGTGCCACCCCCCCAGCTCAGATGTGGAAACTGAGGCACAGAGAGGCTTAAGTCGCTCGCCCAAGGTTTGACCTTGAATCTGGCTGCGCTTGAATCCTAGCGCCTGGCACACGTGTCTGTCTCACCCTCCCACCTCAGCTCTCGGGGCTTCCTGGGCCTCAGTTCCCCCATTTGGGAAGCGAGGAGGCTGGACCCTGACATTTGAGACCCCGCTGGTGGGTGCTGTCCTCTGGGTGGCCGCCCTGGTTGGGAAGTTCCCCCGAGCCTGGTGGTGACCTGCTGTCTCGGCCCCCCCCCCCACCCCTAGCCCGTGAGTTCCTCTGAAAGTGAGGGCCCCGAAGCTGACCCGGCAGGCGGGAGTGAGGACGACGAGGACCGGGGAGTCATGGCCGTCACAGCCGTGACCACAGCTGCCAGCGACAGGATGGAGAGCGACTCAGACTCAGACAAGAGCAGCGACAACAGCGCCCTCAAGCGGAAGGCGTCGGCCTTGAAGGTAGGGCGGGGGCAGGCGCACCTGGCCTGTGGGGGGCCCACCTGGTATGGGGGTGGGGGGGGCCAGCGGCACCCTGGCACTTCCTCCTGCCACCCTGAAGTCACATCCGGCAGCCTACTCGCCCTTCTTTGCCTTTCTTTAATATGCTTTCTTTAAAAAATTGAGATACCATTCACATACCATGAAATTCACCCTTTGAAAGTATATAATTCAGTGGTTTTTAGTACATTCACAGAGTTGTGCAATCATCACCATAATTCCAGAACATTCTTTCACCCCAAAAGAAACTCCCTTTCTGGGCCGGCCCCGTGGCTTAGTGGTTAAGTGCGTGCGCTCTGCTGCCGGCGGCCCGGGTTCGGATCCCGGGTGCGCACCGAGGCACCACTCCTCCAGCCATGCTGAGGCCGCGTCCCACATACAGCAACTAGAAGGATGTGCAGCTATGACAGACAACTATGTACTGGGGCTTTGGGGAAAAATAAATAAATAAAATCTTTAAAAAAAAAAAAAAAAAGAAACTCCCTTTCCATTAGGGAACTGCTCCCATTAGCAGTTACCCCCTCATCCTCCTCCCCAGCTCCTGGCAACCACAGATCCACTTTCTGTCTGTGGATGTGCCTGTTCTGGACATTTCACATCAATGGGATCACACACCGTGTGTCCTTCTGTGTCTGGTTCTCACTGAGCATCGTGTGTTCAAGGTCCATCCACAGTGTGGCTGTGTCAGGGCCTCACTCCTCTTCATGGCTGCGTCATATTCCAGTGTGTGGAGGGACACATGGTGCTTATCCATTTGTTGACGGCCATTTGGGTAACTTCCGCTTTTGGGCCATTGTAAATAATGCTGCTGTGGACATTCACGTACCACAAGTTTTCATGTGGACGTACATTTTCAGTTCTCATGCATATATTCTCTTTCCTGCCTTTTTTCATTCTCTGCCCTTTGCTTCTACATATTTGGGTGCAGAATCGAAGGACCAGGTTCTAGCAGCAAATTCTCTGATAGAGTAAGGCATTCGTCTTATTACTTTAAAAAGAAACGTTTGTTTTGGGTTGCAGTTATAATGGTAAGCCATGCTCATTGTAGGTAAGTTAGAAAATGCAAAAAGCATAAAGAAGCTGTTAAAAAATGCCCGTATTTTCTGAGGGGGTTTCTGTGCCAAGGACTAGAAATGTCCTGATGTATTTCTCTGTGATCTCGTACGTGCCTTGCACAAGGGGGTGTGTGTGTAAAGTACAGAATTGGCCATCATACGTACAATATGTTTGTATGTATGTTTGTATCTTGATGTTTTTCCGCCTAACATTATGAGTATTCCTTGTCGTTAAATGTTATTTTAAAATGTAGTTTTCAGTGGTTGAGAAGTAGTTTATGATGTGGGTGAATTCTAACTAACATATTAAGATCGTTGAGCGTTTAGGTTTTCCCCCAACTTTTTATGACGTCGTTGGTATTGCTTTTTTTTTTTTTAATAATTTTATAGATTTATTTTTTCCCCCAAAGCCCCAGTAGATAGTTGTATGTCACAGCTGCACATCCTTCTAGTTGCTGTATGTGGGACGCGGCCTCAGCGTGGCCGGAGAAGCGGTGCGTCGGCGCGCGCCCGGGATCCGAACCCGGGCCGCCAGCAGCGGAGCGCGCGCACTTAACCGCTAAGCCACGGGGCCCGCCCGGTATTGCTTTTTACAAGTCAACGTTTTTCTGTGTACAGTTTTTGGAGAAGTTGAATAGAAATATGTAGAAAACAAACACAACCACCTCCATCCGACCCCTTAGAGATAAACCACTATTTATAGGTCAACATCTTCAGTAATTTTGGCCAACTTTGTGTTAAACAGATATGAGTTATTATTACAATGCCTTTCACCCACTCTAGGGAAAAATGTAAAAGATCTTTTCACTCGTAACACCCCCCCACTAGCACGTCCTTGTTGTTCCTTTCCCCAGTCTGGGGGGGGCTGTGGTTTTCCCGTGGGGTCAGCTTTACGTTCTCTCTCCAGTTAACATTATTTTGTTGGTGTTTTTCTCTGTATCCGCGGATCTGGTCTTGTTTATTCTTCTTAATGGCTCCACAGAAGACCTCCTCTTGTCAGGTTTTATGGCAGACCCGCCACCAGCTCGTGTGGAGCGGGGTCCAGCCCAGGCACTGCCCCCCCACCCGCCCGCTGAGGTCTCTTGGTTCTGGGGTTACCGGGTCTCGCTGCTCAGGGCGCCTCCTGACGGCCTTTCTTTCGACCCCGGCGCGTGGACGTCAGGAGGGAGGGCCCTGCCTCGGGTCATCTTAGTCCTCAGATTCCTGCCCTTTCGTCTGGGTTCCAGGCCACATCCCAGCTTGAAACGCTTAACCTGGAGCTAGAGAATCTGATGGCTGACGGAACACAAGTGTGCGCGGGAGACAGAAATGTCCTGTAATTGCGGTGGCTTCCCCAAGCGCCTGGGTTAGGAGTCCTCGTGCTCACCGCGTTGGGAGAGGGAAACACACAGTGCCCCTAACTCACATACCGCCTCCCCCCTGAGCCGGGACAGGGTCCCCCCGTCCCGTGTGCTGAGTGTGGTGAGCCGTGAAGAGCGTCTCAGCGTGGCCGTCTGTGAAATGGGGCCAGGCTCCAAACGCGGCCCGCACAGCCCCGTGGGTCTGGCCCCAGCCGCTCCCAGTCCTCTCCCTGACCACTGACCAGCCACTCTGGCCACCTTTCACATCTTTGAAAATGCCAAGGTGCCTTCCACCCGAGGGGCTTTGTGCTTGCTGTCTCCTCGGCCCGGAAAGCTCCTCCGTCCGTTTCCCCGTCTTCGTCCTGCAGGCCTCCCTGCGGCCTTCTCTGACCACCCCTGAGGCGTCCCCGTCACTCCCCACAGTGCCCTCTTACTGTCACAGGACTTACTCTGCTCTCGGATTCTTCCTTAACGCTTCTGTTGGTCTCTCCTGACTAGAACGTAAGTTGCAGGAGAGTAGGGGCCTCCTCTTGTTGGCGTATCCCTGAGCGTATCTGTGCACTCTGGCGGCCATAACGGAGTACCACAGGCTGGGGCTTAACAGCAGACATGTAGTTCCTCCTGGGGCTGGGGGCTGGGAGTCTGAGACCAAGGTGGTTCCTTCTTCTATTTTTTTTTTGTGAGGAAGATCAGCCCTGAGCTAACATCGATGCCAATCCTCCACTTTTTGCTGAGGGAGACTGGCCCTGGGCTAACATCCATGCCCATCTTCCTCCACTTTATATGGGACGCCGCCACAGCATGGCTTGATAAGTGGTGCGTTGGAGCGCGCCTGGGAGCCGAACCTGCGAACCCCGGGCCACTGAAACGGAGCGCGTGCACTTAACTGCTGCGCCACCGGGCCGGCCCCAAGGTGGTTCCTTGTGAGGCCTCTCTCCTCGTGTAGGTGCCCATCTCCCTGTGTCCTCACATGGTCTTCCCTCCGTGCATGTCTGTGTCCTCTCCTCTTCTTGTAAAGACACCAGTCGTATTGGGTCAGGGCCCACCCTAGTGACCTCATGTTACCCTAATCACCTCTGTAAAGACCCATCTCCAAATGCAGCCACGTTCTGAGGTCTGGGGTTAGGCTTCCACATGAATTCTAGGGGACACAGTTCAGCCCATCACGCCCTGGCCTTGGACATTGGTGGTCTCCGGGCAGGGATCTGTTTCTAGAGCTCAGTTCTCCATGCTTTCTCCTTTCTTCCTTCATAAAAATTCCCAAGTTGGCTTCTTTGGCTGGGCGTCAGGGAGTCAGTCCATGATGCCCTGAAACTGAATTCAGAATTGTGTGCATGTGTATGTATATATGGTTTTAAATTTTGTACTGGGGTGAAATTCACATAAAACGAACCATTCTAAAATGTGCAACTCAGTGGCGTTAATTAGTCCACTCACAGTGGCGTGCAGCCGCCCCCTCTATCTAGTTCCAAACGGGTGCACGTGTGTTTTTCTGGGGACAGGATCCCGGATTAGGTGTTTCTCCTTTTTTGTTTTTTTTTATTGTGGTAAAATATACATAACATAAAATTTACCATTTTAACAATTTTGAAATGCACGGCTCATTGGCATTAAGCACATTCACGTTGTTTTGCAGCCATCCCCACCATCCGTCTCCAGAACTTTCCATCTTCCCAAACTGAGACTCTGTCCCCATGAAACACTGACTCCCATCCCCTCCCCCAGCCCCTGGCCCCACCATCCACTTTCTGTCTCTGTGGATGTGACTCCTCTAGGCGCCTCCTGTGACGGGATCACACAGGGTCTGTCCTTCTGTGTCTTGCTCATGTCACTGAGTGTCCTCAAGGTTTAAGATCCCAAGGTTTTATCAGATTCTCTAAGGGGTCCCTGCCGCATCCCCCCAACCAAACCTTGGCTCTTCCCTGGGCTGTCAGCGGTCAGCGGGGGACAGCTCTGCCGAGCAAATGGGCTTTCCTGGTCACTGATCCCTTCGGGCTGCTCCCCTTCCAGATGTCAGTCTCAAAAAGAGCGCGAAAGGCCTCCAGCGACCTGGATCAAGGCAGCGTGTCCCCATCCGAGGAGGAGAACTCGGAAAGCTCCTCCGAGTCAGAGAAGACCAGTGACCAGGTGAGCAGGTGGGCGGCTCCTCGGTGGGCAGGCCAGGGGGGATGCACAGGTGCGAGCCACGCAGTGGGCAGCCAGTGGCTCCCACGCTCAGCTCCCTTCCCTCTGCCCAGGACTTCACCCCTGAGAAGAAAGCCGTGGTCCGGGCGCCACGCCGGGGCCCCCTTGCAGGACGGAAGAAAAAGGTAGAGGGATTCTGCTTTTTTTCTGTTCCCCCAGGCCCACCTGTGGGGAACTCCTAGAGCTTCTCTGCATGGTCACCAGGCACTGTGCATGATTGGAGTCAGGCCGTTTTTGGAGGAAGGTCGGGCAGGGGCTATAGGGCAACCCCAGGGCACCGCCGACTTCCACCTCTGCATTCACTAACGGCTTCAGCCCGTGGTCCCTGAGTGCTGTGTGTGCAGAGCACCTCCCTGGGCCGCCGCTGCTCCTGAGGGGAACTGGGAGGCCAGTCCGGAAGATGGGCTGCTGGAATGCGGGCATCAGAGGGGAGTGAAGCCCTCTGAGGGCCCGTGGAGAGAGAGAGTGTGTGTGTGTTGTTTGTGCACATGGATGTTGTGTGCATGTGTGTTCATGTACAACTGTGTTGTGTGTGGCACGCATGGGTGTAATCGTGTTATGTGATTGTATGAACATGTGTGTGATATGTGTTTGCATGTATGAGTGTATATGTGCATACACACAAGTGTGCATGTGTAGGAGTGTGTTGTCTCGTACAAAAGTGTGCAAGTGTGTGTATGAGTGTGCACGTGTGTTGTGTGCACGTACACGTATATGCACAACTGTGTGTGTATGTGTATGCATGAGTGTGGTGTGTGCATGTGTGTGGTGTGTCCATGTATGTGTGTGCTTGGGTAGTGTGTGCATGTGTACATGTGTGTTGTGTGTATACGAGTGTGGGCACGTGTGCATGTGTACGTGCGTCTTGTATGTACAAGTGTGCATATTGTGTGTGCATGTACTCGTGTATGTGAATGTGTGGTCTGTGCATGTACACGTGTATGTTGTCTGTGTGTGCGTGTATGTGTGTGTGGGTGTGCATGTGGGGTGTGTGTGCTGTGGATGCAGGAGAGCTGGGGGGCAGAGACAGGAGGGCAGCTCCCCCAGCTGGGCCTCCAGGTGAGATTCGGTATTACAAGTCCTCGCCGCTGGGAACCCGTGGCCCTCGCCTGTGCCCGCACCTCCCCAGGAGGAGGTGAGGCCCCGGGAGATTCTGCCCTGTGACCGAGGCGAACACGCAGGCCGCTGCAGCACGTCCCGGGTTGCCTGTGATTTGGGGCCAAAACGAAGGGTTTCCAGTTTGGGGGGAGGTGGATTTTGGGGGTTGGTGGGGTGGGGGGTGCTCGGGGCTGCCATCGCCCTGCGTTCTCTCACCTCCGCGCCCTGGCCTCTCCCAGAAGGCGCCGTCGGCCTCCGACTCAGACTCCAAAGCAGAATCCGACGGTGCCAAGGGAGAGCCAGTGGCCGTGGCCAGGTCGGCGTCCTCTTCCTCCTCCTCCTCCTCGTCTTCCTCCGACTCGGAGGTGTCGGTAAAGAAACCACCGCGGGGCAGGAAGCCAGGTAAGGACCTGACGCCAGTGCCCAGGGGCTTCCCCATGAGGGCCCCCCGCCCTGCCCAGAGAGACACGGTGTTAGAGAAGGCCACCCTCCCTTTTCCGTAGCCGAGAAGCCTCCCCCGAAACCCCGCGGGCGGAAACCGAAGCCCGAACGGCCCCCGAGCAGCTCGAGCAGTGACAGGTGGGTGACAGGGCCTGGGGTGGCTGTGGGGCCGCTGACGGCGGGCGTCCCGGCCCCCTCGGCTGCTCTGACCGGGCCCTCCCGCAGCGACAGTGACGAGGTGGACCGCATCAGCGAGTGGAAGCGCCGGGACGAGGAGCGGCGGCGTGAGCTGGAGGCGCGGCGGCGCCGCGAGCAGGAGGAGGAGCTGCGGCGGCTGCGCGAGCAGGAGAAGGAGGAGAAGGAGCGGCGGCGTGAGCGGGCCGATCGCGGGGACGCCCCGCCCACGGGCAGCGGGGGCAGCAGTGGGGACGAGCTCCGGGACGAGGACGAGCCCGTCAGGAAGCGCGGCCGCAAGGGCCGGGGCCGGGGGCCCCAGTCCTCCTCCGACTCAGAGCCCGAGGCCGAGCTGGAGAGAGAGGTGCGGCCCGGCCCAGGGGTCCAGGACCGGGAGGGCGGCGAGCGGGGAGAGGAGGCTCCTCCCTAAGGCCCGCTGCCTCCCACATGCCCACTCCTGCGTCTAGCCGCGCGTGGAACCCCTGCTGGGTGCCGGGACAGAGCGGAGAGCCTGCGGGGCACAGAACCCCTGCCACTGGAGAGCTGACACCCGAGGGAGGGAGACAGTGGGCGACAGGAGGGTGATACGTGGGCATTCCAGGGCGTTCGGTGCTCTGGAGGAGAGTGAAGCCACTGGAGAGACGTGAAGCTTTAGGGGGAGGGCTTCCGTATTAAATAGGGTGGGCCCTAAAGGCGTCAGATGAGAAGATGCCGTTTAAGTAGGGGTCTGAACGAAGTGAGAGGTGATCTGGGAAGATATCTGAAGGAAAAGCATCCTAGGCCAAGAGAATAGCCCGTGCAAAGACTCTGGGGCAGGACTTGGCCTGGTGTGTTGGAGGAGCAGAGAGGAGGCTCATGTGGCTAGAGGGCAAGAGCGAGGAGAGGAGGGCAGGGAGGGCACGGGGCAGGTCGTGCAGGGCCTGGTGGGCTACAGGGAGCACTTGGGCTTTTCCCCCAAGGGAGGAAGGAGCCCTGGAGGGCTGTGGGTAGAGGAGGGCGGGACCCGACTCAGGTGTCCACGGGTGTCCTCTGGCCACTGTGGGGAACAGCTTGTGGGGTGAGCATGGGAGCAGTTAGGAGGCTGGTGAGGGGCGGTGGGCCTATCAGCTCCCCCGTCTCTTGGCACTCTCAGTCCAACCTGAATCGGAGAGTCTGACCTCCCAGGCCCGTCACCTTCTGGACCAAGCCCAGGATCCTACACGAGGGGGCCAGGGGGATGGGGAAGCAGGACGACCCCCCATTTTCTCCCCATCGCTCTCCCTTTGGTCACAAAGTGGGGACCGAGTTCCCTGCCACAGGAAGTGTTCCAGCCACAGCCTTGAGCTCCTTGGCAGGAGGGTGCAGTGGGGCTGTCCCTCCACTGGGTGGGGGCTTGGACTCCAGGACCCCAGGGTCCTCTCAGGGCCCGGCGACAGGCTGGACACAGGCGTCCTTCGTCCTGTCCAGTCCCACCCGTTCCACCAGCTCCCAGCAGTGCGAGGGTGGTGGCCGGAAGTGTCGAGCTGTGTCTCTCAGGGGGACAGTTCGGGGCTGCCCGCCGCTCCAGCTCCTCCCTTTCTCTGGCTGCCGCAGGCGAAGAAATCAGCTAAGAAGTTGCAAAGCGCGGAGCCCGTGAGGAGACCCAGCCAGAAGGAGAAGAGAGGGCGCTCCGAGGAGAAGCCCCGCGCCAGGTGGCACCCGCTTTTCTCCTCCCACGGCTCCTGGGGCCGCCTGCCCCATCCTGGCCCCCACGGTTTTCAGCCTCCTGGGGGCCCCCAGGGAGGGACCCGGCATCCACGTTCAGTCTTAGAGACGGATCCAGCTGAGGCGTGCCTGTCTTGGTCCCGTCAGGTTGTGTAGGAGCCACAGATCTAGGACCGTCGTCCTTCCTCAGACCAGGGCTCTCGTCCAGGCGATGCTGCCCCCGGGGGACTCCACGCGATGTCTGGGGACATCTGTGGTTGTCACACTGGGGGAGCTCCTGGCACTGAGTGGGTGGGGCCAGGGGTGCTGCTCCACTCCCCACAGTCTCCAGGACGGCCCCCAGAGAATGACTCTGCCCCCGTCAGCAGTGCCAAGGGGGACAGACTGTCCCCCAGACCAGACTTCTTAAGTCCGAGGCCCACCGAGGTCGGGGGGCAGCCTGTCTCCCACCCCCCTTTCTAAGTGGAACTTCAGCCATCAGTGGACAGACCTGCCCACGGACACTTGGCAGCCAGACTGCCAGACAGAATGTTGAATTTTGTATTTAGGAATGTCAAATCAGAGCATCTTGTATTTATTTATCTTTTAGCTGGGAAAGATTTGCCCCGAGCTAACATCTGTTGTGAATCTTCTCTCACCACCCCCACTCCAAAGCCCCAGTGCATAGTTGTATATTCTGGTTGTAAGCCGAATATACAACTAATTCTTCTTTGTGAGCCGCCACCACAGCATGGCTACTGATAGACAGGTGGTGTAGGTCTGTACCCGGGAGCTGAACCCAGGCCACCGAAGCAGAGCGTGCTAAACTTTGGACTGGCTTTGGACGTGCTAAACTTTCTGGACTGGCTCCAGAGAACCTTTTAATAACTCATTCGCTAAGATTTAGGTAACTAGCTACTAACCCTCAGCTGCGGGGCCGGCCCGGTGGCACAGCGGTTAAGTGCACGCGCTCTGCTGTGGTGGCCTGGGGTTCGCAGGTTCGGATCCCGGGTGCACACCAACGCACCGCTTGTCAGGCCATGCTGTGGCGGCGTCCCATATAAAGTAGGGGAAGATCAGCACGGGTGTTAGCCCAGGGCCAGTCTTCCTCAGCAAAAAGAAGTCAGCTGCACATTTGAAAGAAAAGAATTCCGGGATTTCCCGTTGCTCGCTCGCAAGAACCAGGGCCAGGGCTGACATCTTTGGTCACCTCGGGTGCCTGCCCTTGACCAGGTCACGACGGGCTTGAGCCTCCTCCTCCAGCCTCCAGGGCCTCCTAGAGGTTTCCTTCCGCAGCGGGTGTGGGTCCCCCCCGCAGGCCCCGGCCCTGCTGGGGAGGGTGGTGGCGGCCGGGGCAGGGTGGCCTCAGGGACGTTGGTCAGGGGCCCGTCTGAGACGCGACTCTCCACAGGCCTGTCAAGGAACGAACTCGGAAGCGATCGGAAGGGTTCGCCCCGGATCGGAAGGTCGAGAAGAAGAAAGGTGAGGCCTGGCTGCCCCGGTCGCTGTCTGAGGGCGGGAGGAGGGAAGGCCGTGGAGTAGCTGGCTCTTGTCACTGGAGCGGTGCTCGGGCCGGTCCCCAGAAGGGGCCGCGAGAGAGCAGCCAGGTGTGGGGGCCAGGCCGGCCAGCCCCCTGCAGCCTGGGCCTCCGTGGCCGTGCTCAGGCCCGGGCGCTGTGTTCTCTCCTGGGCACAGAACCTTCCGTGGAGGAGAAGCTCCAGAAGCTTCACAGCGAGATCAAGTTCGCCCTGAAGGTCGACAACCCGGTGAGGCCCTTCTCGGGGCCGCAGGGGCACCTCGCAGCCACTTCCCCTGAGCCAAGCAGCCCCCCTCTGAAAATCCAGGGTCCCTTGGGGTGGCAGGGGCGGGGTCCTTGTTCCCATCCTGCGTCCCCCAGCTGAGGGCCCGGCCGGCGTCCCCACCAGGTGGCGCCACAGGCAGGCTCCAAGAGCCTCCGAGTTCTGAGTCCCTCTGCTTGTCCCAGGGGCTCCCGTCACTCAGCCCTCAGCCCTCCCCTGCAGGGAGAGCCCGGGGGGTCCTTCTCTGCGCCGTCGGGCCCCCTAGCACCTGTCAGCCTGGTGCTGCCCCCCCTGACTCCCCTCCCACCCTGCAGGACGTGAAGAGGTGTCTGAACGCCCTTGCAGAGCTGGGGACCCTGCAGGTGACCTCGCAGATTCTCCAGAAGAACACAGATGTGGTGGCCACATTGAAGAAGGTACGGTGGGAGTCCGGGGGTGAGAGGGGCTGGTGGCAGGTGGGGCACAGTCTGCTCAGGGAGCCCGGGTTCCCGGCCACGGCTGGTGGGGGAATGCCAGTTTCTAGGGGCGGCGCCCCCGCCAGGGGCGGCATGACGGGGCAGGGCCTCGGGGTGGGGGAGGCCGGCTGCCCTTCCTGAGCCAGGCCTCCTGGCGGGCCAGATTCGCCGTTACAAGGCCAACAAGGAGGTGATGGAGAAGGCCGCGGAGGTCTACACCCGTCTCAAGTCGCGGGTCCTGGGACCAAAGATTGAGGCCATCCAGAAGGCGACCAGAACCGGGCCGGAGAAGGAGAGAGCCGAGGCGGAAAAGGCCGAGGAGGTGCTGGCCGGAGAGGAGGCCCCCACGGAGAGAGCGGAGGACGAGGCGAGCGCTGGTGAGGAGGCACATGGGGCGCTGGGCAGGCCATCTGAGCCCTGGGCACAGCCCGTGCTCTTCCCCAGACGGCTGGAGTGGCGCGTTCCTGCTGGTGCTCTGCGCGGGCCGGGCTCTGTCCCCCACGCGTGCGTGCAGGCCGGGGTGCAGGCGTTACTGCACGGGCAGTGGGGGCGTCTGGGAGGCGCAGGCCGCGGGCTGGGCCTGGAGGGCCACGGGAGGAGGAGGGGTGTCTCTGGCAGGGATGGTGGCTGTGAGGGACGGGAGAGCGTTCCTTCCTTCTGGGGTCACACGGTCCCCAGGACAGATGGTCGGAGCAGTCCTTTAGCTCGGCCGGAGGCTGAGCAGCCGAGGGAGAGCGGAGGGGGCTCCTCTCTCCACATTTCCGTCCCAGGCTCAGGCGTGCTTTCGCCCGTGTTGCCCACGGCTACTCATTTCCTGCTCCTCGCTTCTTCAGGTGCGTGTGCTCAGGGGCCCAGCCCGGCTGCAGGAAGGACCCAGACGCAGCCAGGCCCCGGTCTGGTGGGAGCTGACAGTCCCCACACGGCTGGTGAGGCACTGAGGTGGAAGTTAATGTGGGCGCATGGGGCCAGGGCCCTCGAGAAGGGTCCGGGGTCCTTTAGGACCCCTGTCCCAAGGCCAGCTCGCTCGCTCTCAGCAGGAAGGGTTAAGGGGTCCCGGATGATAGCCGAGCAGTGTCCCACGAGCCCTCTCTCCCACCCAGACCTCTCAGCCCCGGTGAACGGTGAGGCCACGTCTCAGAAGAGTGAGAGCACAGAGGACAAGGAGCAGGAGGAGGAACAGAACTCGGAGGAGGGGCCGGGCGGGGGCTCCTCTGAAGACCTGTTACACAACGAGTAAGTGTCGCAGGGGCCACGGCCATGGGGGCGACTTCCCGAGAGAGGGGGCAGCGTGAAGGGCACCTGTGTCCCAGCTGCTCCCAGTGGGCTGCTCGTCTGGTAAGAGTCGCAGACACTGTGTCCCCCCCATCCTGGCCCCCCACCCCCACCCCCTGCAGCCTTTGCAGCTGACCCCCGGGGGCCCCATCAAGGTAGCTCCAGTGCTCCAAGCTGCCATGGGTCGGGCCCCTGGGAGGGGGGCTTCCTCCGGATGCTCCGGGAGTGGGTGCAGGCAGGCTCTCCCACCAGCACCCATCCGTCCTGCCGTGTGGAGGACCCTGGTCTGCCTGTGGCAGCCTCTTAGTGCAGTGGGCACAGCAGGGGGAGTGCAGGGGCGTCGGGTCTGTCGGGGAGGGGACGGCAGAGGCAGCCTGGTCACTCGCCCTGCCGTGGTCCAGCAGCAGCACTCGGGAGGGCCCCGACCTGGACGTGCCGGGGAAGGAGCGAGAGAGGGTGCGCGTGGACTCGGAGTCCCTGGACGACGAGGAGAGCTGAGCCCCGAGCCCCGGTGGCCCGGCCCCGCCCGCCCCGCCGATGCCCGAGGCCTGCCCCGCTCCCGCCCGCCCGGCCGCCCAGAGAGCGGAGAACTGTTGGGGAGACGCCGTGCTGTTCGTTTGTATTTGTCCCCCTGGGTTTTTTTTCTGCCTAATTTCTGTGATTTCCAACCAACATGAAATGACTATAAAGGGTTTTTTTAATGAAAAAAGATCATTTTTATTGGCTTGGTTTTCTAGCGTTACTGGTGCAGCTGGGCTGGAGCTAGGGAGTACTTTGCCTCTATCGGGGCCCCTTTGGGGACAAAGGGTTTTAAGCTGTAGGGTCACCATTAACAGCAGCCGTGAGCTTGGTTAAGCTGTAGGGTCAGCAGTAACAGCGGCCGTGAGCTGGGTTCTGACGGTGCGCCCGGCCCGGCCTGGCCCAGCGGTGCCAACGGTGAAGGAGAGTGGGTGCGAGCAAGGCCTTTCCAGAACAAAGGAGAAATCAAACCCTCTCAACTCCACGGCTCAAACAGAGGCTGTGGTGGGATCTGCCTGCGTGGCAGCCCAGTGCCCAGGCAGGAGTGAAGGCCGAGGGCGGGGCCGGGCGGTGGAGACCTTGCATTCCCCGGAAGCCATGGCCTCGCTGCACTGACTCCACCATTTACTCTGCCCGCCCGGGCTGCAGGTGGCTCTCGGGACCCCTGAGGAAAGACCCTGAATCCCCAGCAGCAGCAGCTCGGGGCACTAAAGCCATTCAGGCTGGCAGGGGGCTGTGGGCTGTCTGTTGTCCTTGGCGTTCAGGGGGCTTGAGCGTTGGCAGGCCTTGCTGTGTGACCTTGGGCCACTGGCACTCCCACTCTGGGCTTCTCTTTCCTCACCTGGGTAGGGGTGACCCCATCCTCACAGGGCCGACTGAGACAGGGTGCCTCACGCAGCAGTTGCTGCGTAAACAGTGGCCTCTGCTGCGTGTGCCCGGCCCTGCCCGTGGCCGAGGCCCTCGGTCCCAGCTGAGAGAGAGCCCGTGCTGCGCTGTGCTGTGGGACTTCCTGAGCCTGGCACCCCGTTTGGTTTGGCTGCACCTGAGGTTAAGTCTCTGTGCTCGACTTCCGTGAGTGGCTGTGTTTCTGGTGTCACCGCCTCCGATGGCCGTCCGTGATGGAGACTGGGGAAGGAAAGGCTTGGGAGGTTCCCTGACTCGGCCCCGTGTCTTGCGCGGCCAGCTCCCCGGTGCAGAGCCCCTCATGGCTCCTGGTGGCCGAGGCGAGCCTTGGGGGAGAGCAGGCCCGTCCGCCCCAGAGCTCAGAGTACCTGACCGTTTCTGAGAAGAGGGGGCGGTGTGGGGGCGCTCGAGCCTGGGAGGTAGCCAGACGGGGGGCTGTCGGCGATACAGGTTCTGGGAAGGGGGTGCTGCTCAGGCTTGGGCTGCTGGCGCTCCGATGCAGCAGTGGGGACCATCTCGCGGTCGAGCATCCTGGGTTTTCGCTTGTCCGGGGGCCCAGGAAGCGGGCGTGGGGGCTGGGCCTCTGTGGGCCCTGCTTCTCCACGTGCAGCCCACCTTGCAGGGCCGCCCTGAGGACCTAGGGGGGCGCGGCCCGCTGGCTGCCAGCCCAGCCCCGGTCTGCAGTCGGGCACGTGATAAGACCCGACCTGTGTTGAGGACATTTTGTCACATGCCGTCTAGGGCCCGGGCCCCTGTGGACGCCCTTTTGTTCCTTCCTCGGCAGCCTCTGGCCCAGGCGCCTCAGGGACACCGATCGTCGGGTCTCGCGGCGTCTCTAATGGCCATGCCGGGGCTGGGCCGGGCGGACTGGTGGGCTGAGCCGGGGGGGGCCGTGTTTTGTAACCCTCCGCTCCCAGTAGTCCAGTCCTCAAGCCGGGGCAGTGCAAAGCCCAGGAGGTGGCTGCTGTGGCTTTGTCCTCGCCAGCCCCTGGGCCACTGCGGGGCTCAGTGGAGGCGGTGGGCCTGCGTCAGGACGACGGTGGCGTGCGGGTCTCTTCTGGTCCAGGGGAACGTGGTGTGGTGAGGGCTGGAGTGTGGGCTTTCAGAGCGGGGGCCGCGCTGCCCGGAGCCCAGCATGGAGGAGTGGGACCGCCTGCTTAGCCAGTAGCTAGAGGAGCCAGACCACGGTGACCCCCCCAAAGATAAAGGGGCTCCTAGTGGGGTGCTGAATGAGAACCTTCTAGATTGGGCACGGTTCCACCTCTGTCCTAATTGGAGTGCTCATTTGAGATGTTCAGGGGAAGGCGCTCTGTCCATGGTCTCAGCAGCCCTGGGCCGCTGGGCTGGCAGAAGGGCTGGCAGGAGGGCCAGCCGTGCTCGGGGAGAAAGGGCGGCCGGTGCAGGCGGGCCCAGGGCCGGCGCGTGGTGCGGCGTCACTCAGAAGGGCCTTGGGACCCCGCCGGCGCCCTCCTGCGGGTGGAGCCTCGGGGAGTGGAGCTGCTTGGAGCTGGGAAGGGCTCCAGGAGGGCTCCAGGGGCGGGGAGGCCTACAGCGGCTGCCCGCCGGGCTGCAGGGCGAAGGGCCCCACTAGCCAGCCGAGCGGGGGGCTGTGCTGCACGCTCTCCAGCAGCTGCTCCAGCCCCTGCCACGCCCGCCGCACGCCCTCGCGGCTCTGCGCCAGGCGCTCTGCCGGCAGCTCCGCCGCGGAGCCGGCCGAGGAGAGGACGCCATAGAGCTCGCAGAGGCTGCGCCGCGCCTGCCCGACCCGTCGCTGGAGCTCGGCCGGCAGGCCCTGGAGGCCGGAGGCCAGCATGCTGCAGGCCACGTGGAGCTGCTGGACGAGGCCGCGGGCCCTGGACAGCGTCCCGGCGCCCGGCACCTGCGGGAGGAAGGGGCCAGGTGAGCAGCGGTCCGACAGAGGAGAGCGGGGCCTCGGCCCTCCGGTACGCACCTCTCGGGTCCCGGCGTCCGCCGCGCTGCTGCTCGGCCCCGGCTCCAGCCCCGGCTGCCCTTCCAGAACCTGCTTGGCCTTTTCAATCTGGAGAGAGAGAGCCCAGCAGAGAAATGAGAGCTTCTTAGCAGGGCCCTGCCACACACTGTCCCGCGGGGCGGGCATCCCGGGCTGCCCCGAAGCCTCGTGTCTAGGCCTTTCCCGTGGTGTGGTGGAAGGCCACGAGTTTACAGCCAGCCGCAGAGGATATGCTTCTTGTGTCACGTGAAGAAGCAGTAATCCAAATTCCCACCAGGTCGTCAGGGAGATCAAATAACAGACGGTCGGTTGGATGGGGTCATGTCACTGCCCAGCTCAAAACCCTCCCGTGGCTCCCCAGTGCCCTTTGCATAAAACCCAACTCCTCACTGTGGCCCCCGAGTCTGGCCCCCGGGACGTCGCAGACCTCATCTCCCACTGGTACCCCGTCGCGCTCTCTGCTCTGGCCATGCTGACTCCGTTTTGTCCCCTGACCGCCTGTGGCACTCTGCTGCCCACTCAGCCCGGAGCGCACTTCCTCTGGCCCTTCCTGTGCCCCCTTCAGCCTCAGCTTCAGGTTGCCTGCTGGGCGAGGCCTTCCCTGTCCACCCAGGGCGGTGGCCCCCAGTCCCTCCTAAGTGTCCTGCTAAAAATCTCCGAGACCGCCTAGGGTTTTCCCTCTCTCACGTCTGCATCTGAGCCGTCTGCAGACCCTGGCGGCTCTGCTGTGGAAACATCCAGAACCTACCTGCCCCTTGGCACCACCCACACTACTCTCGAGGCCCCATCATCCCTCGCTGGGAGTTTTGCAAAATCCTCCTCGCCCATCTGGCTCTGGCCCTTGACCCCCTGTGGCCCGGCCTCCCCACAGTAGTCAGAACAATCCCCATGAATAAAACCCACGTCGGATCAGGCCGCTCCTCGGCTCACGATCCTCGGCGCTGTGGGGGGCTGAGCAGCACCTCTGGCCCCCACCCACGCGATGCCAGGAGCGCCCCCAGTGTGACAGCCACAGATGTCCCCAGACATTGCCCAGTGTCACCTGGGGGCAGAATTGTCGCCGCTGAGACCTTCTGGATTGGAACAGTGGTCCTCAAACGACGGTTCATCACAGACCCTGGGGGCGCAGCCCGGGAACCCTGACTCAGGGAGCGTCTCTGGGCTCTTCACTGCCAAGGTAGGGGCTGTTGTACATTTAAGACCCAGGAGCTTGAGAACTCGGGGGTCCTCAGAGCTGGGGGTCCATCACTGCATCAGCCACGGACGGGGTGCTGCTAACCTTCCCGCCGTGCGCAGCTCAGCCCCACCACCGAGAATGAGGGGGTGCGCGTCAGGGAGCTGCAGCGGAGAGAGCCTGGGCCGGAGGACGTGAGCGGGGACAGGGAGAGAGCAGCCCCGCTCTGCCAGGCGTCTGTCCCCGGGTGGCATCCAGGTCGCCTTTGATTGGGTCGTTACTTGCATAACTGAGCCTCAGACCCCACGGGCTCCCCTCCCCCGTCCCCACTTTGCCCCGTCAACCTGGCTGCCCCTCTGCTCTGTGGACACACCCAGATTGTTCTCGGGGCCCTCTCTGTCCTCGCGGCCCCCTGGCATTCACAACGTGGCTCAAGGGACGCCCTGTCCCTGCGCGATCGTCTGGTTCGTTTGCGTCCCCCGCTTGGTGGTCTTGGTGGCCGCCGGGCGTGGTCTGTCAG